CCCTAAAGTCTGTGGCACTGACATAGATGGAATGGCTGCCTATAAACGAGAATCTCAGAATAGAATAGCTAAGCCTCCCATTGTCATGGTGGGGGACAGTATAATTGGATCCCTTAGGGGAAAAGTAAGTGTAAATGAGGCTGGGAGTGAGATTGTATGCTTGAGTGGAGCAGATATTGTCAAAATAAGGAGGGAAGCGGAAAAAAAATCTGAAAGCACAAATGGTGGGCTTCTTGTTTTGCAGGGTGGTGGCAATGGCCTAAGAGAAATTGGAGTGGATAAAACTGTTGAAGAGATCATAAGCACAACCAGGGAGGCACATAATAAAAACCTGGCAGTGGCTGTGGTGGGCATTTTGAGGCGGCCAAGGGAAGATGAAAGGTATGAGCGAATGCGAAAAGAGGTAAATGAGAAGGTGTTCCAGAGGCTGGTGAAAATGAAAGTTGAATACNAGATGTGTATAAGAGACAGGAATAAAGGGTATTCAACCAAGTATTAAATTAAAATAATGCGGATTTATTGTTTTGTACGAATACTTTTTTCACCCGAAAAGTGAACATGTTGCATTGTTTTTTGTTGCATTGAGATTTAATTTCTTTTGATAGTATTTTTTAATACTATGCGTCTCTATACATAATTTGAATCACTTTTCCTGTTAAGTTTGTGTACTTACATACATTAAAATACGATTTTTCAAGTGTACAAATATTTATTTCCCCCCACTGTAATTATCAAATACACAGTGCAATAATTGACAGATAGCAATAATAAACCAATGAATTTCCCCTTGAACTTCTCTTCCCCTTGATTACTTCTCACCCTTAACACAAACTTTCACACCTCTTCTAGCCTCTTCTCTTTAATGTTGCTTCCATCTGGCTTGGTCTCCCTTTCTTCTTCTTACTAACAAATGAAAATGTGATGCGTGGCTGATGGCCGTTGCAAAGGCCTGACCCCAGTGAGGAATTCTAGAGGGATAATAAATTAACTAGTACACATAGCATATTGGAAAGCAGGACCTGAAAACTTGGAAAGGTCAGGAACTTTACACTTTCAGTCCATTATTTACATGTCCCCTCCCTTTCAGAATTCCAGCTGTGATTGGTTGATAGGATTGTGATTTTAGAACCTTTCAGCTTTCCAGCTGTAGTTGGATAATGGAATTGTAAGGTTATCTGCTTTCTAGCTGTGATTGGTTGATAGGGATGCTTTCAAGCTGTGATTGGTTGATGGGGATGCTTTCAAGCTGTTATTGGTTGTGCCCATAAGCCCCGCCCCCTAGTATGGTATATGTACTACAGTACTGGTTAACTAAATACTTGACTGAAACTTGATCATTACAAACAAAAGGCCTGGAAAATGTAAAAAAAATCCATTAAATAAAAGTCAAATAAAAAATATCTATCAAACAAGAGACATCCAAATAATTCTTTTACAAATCTAATGTCCTATAAAATTGAAACAGTTTGTCCACTTTTGATCCTCCTTTTAATTTATACCTAGTCACTTTAGTCAGTCACTTGGCACAGCACTGTGGGAAAGCTTTTCAGCTTGGGTGGAAAGCTTTTTTATAAGTGAACTTCCATTCTTAGAATTCCAGCCTGCCTGACCCTGAAATTCTTTTTCTCAGAGTCAGAGTCACCACGCCCCAAATCCAAAGATTCATTTTTAACATGTTTTTCTTAGCTTAGCTTCGCGTTTGTTTGTTTGTCCTAAATTAGTTTAATTGAGTAAAGTATATATATAGTGTATATATATAGTAGGACGTGCGGGCGCTCACGTTATAGACAAGCAGGCGCTGACGCTGCGTATCATCGATACGTACGTCAAGTCATACTTAATCAAGTCTTAATCGTTTTTTTTGTGGACTAAAAAGTAGAAAATAAAATACTTAAAAAAAACTTTTTAAAAAACCACGTTTTTCTTGTGGACTAAAAAGTAGAAAATAAATTATTGTTCGCCCCAAAAAATTGCACCATCAAATTTCCAAAATTCGTGTGTTGTGTGCTTTTCGCTTTAATCATAAATCTGCCCGACACACGTTTTTTTGGGGCAAACAATAATTTATTTTCTACTTTTTAGTCCACAAGAAAAACGTGGTTTTTTTAAAAAGTTTTTTTTAAGTATTTTATTTATACATGTGTACCAAGTTTCAAAGTGATCCATCTGTAAATAACCAAAATAAAATTTCCACAAGAAATTGGAAATTTCCATTGAAAATTTGAAATTTTAAATTTCAGTTATATACAGACAGATAACTTTGAAACTTGGTGCACATATGTAAAAAATAAATCTAGGACTTTTTTTGTTCGTTTGAATTTTTTGGAAAAAAAAATAAAAGAAAACGTGAAATTCTTAGAAAAACGGTGTTTTTTTAAAGGCAACTTGAAAGTCCGATTTGGCAGTAAAGGGTAACATCACTGCAGCTGTACACAGGATTGAAATTTTCCTACTCGTTTCTGAAATCTTGCACCTCCAGCTCCAGAGTGACAAAATTTTAATACATTTGGAATCTCATGGCCCGATTGTGCTGCATTTGCGCACTTTTGTTAACATTTAGATAGGAGGTAATTCATCTGGTTCTGGTGGAAATCTTGCAGTTCCGGTCTCCGGAAATGGCTGGAAAGCTTTAGTCGTGGCCCTAATGGTAGAAGTTTTCCATGCTTGGGAGGTTGGGTTACTCACTTTTGGAATCAGTTCATTTTTGTTCTTCTCATCTACTCAAATTTTTAATCAATATCTTATCATATGACTATGACTGAGTATGAAAATGCCATCATCTGACATTCTTACTCCTCAGTCCTCAGTCCACTATGTCTATGATACTTGGAGCTTGCTAGTCTACCTGCTATACCTATACGTATACTGATGGACGACGGTATACTGGTATAGTGTATACCTACTTAGGGTCCAGGGAATTAATTAGGATTTAGGGTTATACTATAACACTCAGAATTGAAATTGAGCCTTTGAGAAACAATCAGATTATCAGAAAGAGTTTCTGCTCTGCAACAAAGCAGCCACAAGCCCACAATAATTCATAGTGGCAAAGCAGAGAGTTTTTTAGACTCTCCCTCAAGTTAATTTTTGAGTCCTATAACTTATAAGTAGGCCAGTGAAGTATCCTGGATACAAGCATTATCATACATAAGAAATTAGTTTAAATCTCAGGTAAATGTGGAAATTAAAAATGAACCGATTCTAAAAAATCTCTGGTTTGTCACTATGCCCACCATGGTGCCAATCCATAGGTTATTCAAAAGAACCTGTTCTTATGTCATTTTGAACCGATCAACACTTCTTTATGGACCGATCGTAAAACACACCTTCACCGGCAAAAGCTTTCACACTTCTGAAGAAGGTGAGCTGACAGCTACACTGGCCGTGGGGCGTGGGTGGACCTAATTTGAATTTGAATGCATGCAGCGATTCAAAATCCTATAGACTGTGATAGACATAGTATACAAGTCATAGAGCCTAAATTTTTAATATCTATAAAAAAATGTACGTTTCTGCATGTATTATAATGCTGTTAACATTAGCAAACTTTTAATTATCTCTGATGCAAGAAATACTTGCTTAAATCATTTTATTTTCAATATAAGCGACTGGATGCAACAATCGGTTTGCAAGAAACGACATAGCCCTGA